GCATAATCTGAAGTATAATAACACGAAGAACAAAGCTAATATCATTAAATCAATTGGAAAATTGTATTAATAAAGGATGACTCTGAAAAATTGTATTATCCATGAGAATAAAGATATACTGTCAAAAAAAAAAAAAAGTCCATAGAGAGCTGGGTGTGGTGGTACCCACCTGTAATCCCAGCAACTCAGGAGGCTAACAAGGTCAAAGCCAGCCTCAGCAACTGAGACCCTGTCTCAATATAAAAAAAAAAAATGGCTGGATGTGGCTCAGTGTTCCAGAACCCCTGGGTTCAATTCTCAGTACTAAACAACAAAAAAGTCCATAGAGAAAGCTGGCTCATTAGTGACCTTAGCTTATTTTTTTATTTATTTGGTACCAGATATTGAACTCAGGGGCACTTAACTACTGAGTCACATCCCCAGCCCTTTTTTGTATTTTATTTAGAGACAGGGTCTTGCTGAATTGTTTAGGGCCTCACTAAATTGCTGAGGCTGGCTTTGAACTCATGATCCTCCTGCCTCAGCCTCCTGAGCCACTGGGATCATAGGTATGTGCCACCACGTCTGGATGGAAATTTCCATCATGTGACTTTTGGTTAAGCCCTATCAAGTCCCCCTGTTTTGGACTTAAATAACACCGACTGCTATTTACTGTGGCAGCTATCTTTGCTTTTTTGAAAGTATTTATTTTTTAGTTTTTTTTTGTGGATACAATATCTTTATTTTATATGGTGCTGAGGATCGAACCCAGTGTCTCACATGTGCTAAGTGAGCACTCTCCCACTTGAGCCACAACCCCAGCCCCATGGCAGCTATCTTTGAACATGCAGGTAACACTTATGCACCAAGAGAAAATATTTGAAATAGGGGCTCATGAAGGAAATAGGTTCCAACGATCCGTTTTGAAGTTTCTAGGTTCCTAGGTCACTTGGTGTCCTGCAGCCCACTCTTCCAACTTCAGGAAAGCTGTGGTTCTTACAGATTAGTCAACTGAACCTCCTAATGTGATTGTAGGCAGGGTCTTCTTTGCTGTACAACCCCCACCACTCACTGTGCCCCATAAACAGCATTTTCTACTTGCTGTCATTTGCCTTGTCCAGCGAGCAAAGATCCTTCCCACAACAAACTAGGTAGAGAATTACAAATCAAAGTCTCCTGGCCTTACTGCATGCAGCGGTTTGTCCTAATTCCAGACAATTAGGGAACTGTCCCTCCCACCTTTTTCACAGGTCTGCAAGTGATTGCACATTGGTCTACTGGCTCTTATCTCCAAACATGCCATATAATTTATGTATCAGTCTCATGTACCCAGAATGGTGGCTGACACACAAGTGCCCAATAACTTGCTAAAGACATCTCTATATATTCTAGTAGTTATTAGGCATTAAACACAATTCCCTGGAAACTTGCAAGTCAAGGGTAATACAGCAGTACACTAACGTGGTAAAAAGCTCAACACTGCCAGTAAGATTTTCATTGTGCATATTAACTCAGCTGCAACTATTATGTCAGGTAATGCTGGTAACAATTTGCTACATGGCCAACAATTAAATTTGATCTTTCAGGCCAAGCTGAACTCTTTCCAATCTAGGATTTGAGATTGGCAATCTTTTTGTTAAGAGCCAAGTAGTAATATTTTAAGCTTTCACAAAGGCCAAGTCTGCATCAAGGTGAAAACAGCCATGAAAATGTAAATAAATGCATGTGGTTGTGTTAACCAATTTTTACCATGCGCAGTGGTGCATGCCTGTAATAATCCCAGGTTGGGAGGCTAGGCTGAGGCAGGATCACAAATTCAAAGCCAGCCTCAGGAATTTAGCAAGGCCCTAATCAACTCACTGGGGATGTGGCTCAGTGGTTTATGTGTCCCTGGTTTCAAAAACTTTAAAATGTAAAGACCATCTTATAAATTCTCTCCCTCTCTTTAATCCAATAACCTTAAAAACCAAAAGAGCAGTTCAAATGTTTCACATATTTATTAGCAAACCAACCCAAACCAGTACTACAGCTTCTGTGACACTATCCAGATAGGGCAGACATTTTCAGGTGGATGTGACAAAATGATCACAGCTTTGATAAATATGTGTGCCATTTCATGTCATTCTTTATAGACCCAGCTTGGTTCTCCTCCAGTGTCTCCTCTTGGAATTGTACCTACAGAGAAGGAAACTGACAGTTACAAAGGCAGTCTGACTACAATTTAGCTGTCTCCATTCACCATAAACTTGGTACAACAAAATTCAAAGGTCACAGTTTCTCCTTCAACAAGTTTGGATTGTTCTTGAGAGTAAAATTATTTGTTACATTTTTGTAAGAACTGGGCCAAACCAAATTTTAACCTCAAGATGATTGATCTCAGACTAGGTTCTTAACTGGGACTCAAGTAGAAAGGAAACTCCTTCTTCCCCTCCCCTCCATGGGTACCCACACCCACTTTTGATTCAACACACTGGGGGTAGATGCAAGCATATCTTTAACCCCCTCTTAATGGATCACACACAAAAGCTCCTGCATTATCTTTACAACAAATTAATACTCCATAGTAATAGTGCATTCCAGAGTTAAAGCAATGTCTGAATTGTCCATGTCAATCTGTCATGATTTTACCCCCAGAAGGCAAAATCAAAAATGATCAACATAGCTTTTCTTTCAGCAGGATAATGGCAGTACTTCCACAAAATGAAGCACTGTAATTGCAACCTGCTCTCAATTAATTTTAAAAGTTGAAAGAGGGGCTGGAGATTGTGGCTACATGAGGCCCTGGGCACCAGGCACACACAAAATAAATAAAAGTTGGAAGATAGCAAATATCTCCCCAATTGTATGAGACCAGAGAACCAGGATTATCTATTGAATTAGGCACTCCATTTTATATACATTTTGTTCATTCCCACAACCCAAAACACAGATATCATCAGTTGACAGGAACATGGAAAGGGTCCCAGTTTCTCCTTCAACAGATTTGCTGTACAACCCAGAGAGTTTACACTAGCTTTGTGGTCTTCTCTTTCAAGAGGGACCCACTTCCTAAGCTCACCCTCTACTGTCAGCTTCAACACTCTACCTCCTGTATGTGGTCTTCTGAGCTGTTATTTGGAAAAGCCAGTGAACCTGGTAATTCATTTTAAACAAACAAAAAATGTGAATTTTATTTAACACTCTAGGATTGTCACTGGTTATGGGATCTTGGGGCAAATTTCACATGCTTACTTTTCCTCCCTTCAAGATTTGTCTTAAAGCCCACTTAGTATGAGAAGCAGGCTGAAAAAGGAATATAGGAAACCAGAGTTTTAGTCCTAGTTGACCTTGGAGGTCCTTGACAACAATTCTAGTGACGTCTTTCTTCCAAACTCATCAATTCAACTATTTCTGCAGTAGAGGGCAGTGTTGCAATCTTTAAAAAAAAAAAAAAAAAAGCTGACCACTTCAAAAACTGATTTTGGGGGAGCTGGGCTATAGCTCAGTGGCAGAGTGGGGTGTGAGGCACTCGGTTTGATCCTTGGCACCACATAAAAATGAACAAACCAGCCAGGCACAGTGGCACATGCCTGTAATCCAAGCAGCTTGGGAGGCTGAGGCAGGAGGATCGCAGTTCAAAGCCAGCCTTAGCAAAAACAAAACAAAACAAAAAAACTTCAGAAACAAATCCAAAAACAATAAAAAAGGACTTCAAAATATTGATAGACGACAGATTTGATTACATGTAACTTTCAACTGCATGTTTATGCCCTAAAAGTAATCTGAAACAAAGAATAGTGTGTGTGTGTGTGTGTGTGTGGTGTCTTACCTGATTTTATTACCAGTTTTCATTCGAATCCACTGGGGAATGGGACGATTTTGCTTTTGTTTCTTGGCCAAAAATCGCTTGATCCTGAAAGTCTTGTGAGAAGACTGCAAGGAAATGCAAACAACTTAGTGATACTAGAGCCAGCCCAAAATGATTCAAAATTTTTTTCCTCAATCCAACAAACATCTCAGTGGATATACAAAAAAATTAAAAATCATCATCCACCCTCAAATCCTGAGAGTTCTCAAAAGGCATCAGAAAACTCAGGCAACCAAATTGGGAATTGGCTAGGGCTGGGGAACTTGGCTTAATGGAAAGACCTAGCTTTAGGTTAACCAGAATAACCTATCACTTGTAAGTCAATGAGCCTCAGTGTACCCTCCACCCCCTCAAGGTCAATCCGGCAGAATTGCAGATCTATAGCCTAGCCAACTTAGCCCAACAAACCCTTGCATTATAGGGGCCATTATAAAGGCATAACTACAACTCTCTCCCAGCCCGCAATAGCAGTTGTATATTTTATCAATAAACTAGAAAACATCAAATACCGATCCCCTCCATACCTAGTAACCAACAAACATAGTAATCTGTCACAGAGCAGTGATGGCATTTACTAAAAATCCCCGTATCACACAAAACCCCCATTCTAGGCAATTAAGCTCAAGTCTCTGAACAAATGACTAAAAATTCCTGCAATCTTGTTATGGGTAACACTTCTGGATGCCCCTTCTGATGCCGAGCATATCGTGCACACTACCGGCAGCCTGCCGTTGGTCCAAGTTCAGGCAAGCGGGGGTGCACCTCGATAATCACAGTTTGCAACAGCAGGGAAGCAAAAATCCTTGCGCTCCCCGGGATCAGCCAGACTCTTAGCGCGCTTTGGACTCTTCCGCGCCGGCGCAGCCGCCCCTCCCCGAGTGGTCCTGCTAGACCTGTGGGTTAGAGCAGCGGCCAAACTGGACAGTCCCTTGAAAATACCTTTAAAATACTCCTGCCCCTCGACACTTCACGCGGCCCCGGCCAGCCCTTGGCGGCTTTGTGTCTAGGAAAGCCATCTCCGAGCCGATGGCGGCCGATAGACTTACCATGGTGAGGGACCGAATTCGGTGCTCGCACCACAATGGCCGAAAAAAGGCGAAGAGGAGGAAAGAGGGCGGAAGAACGCGTTTAGAAGGCGCCACTGAGAGGTGGAGCTTAGGCAGTGACGCTTTGCGCCAGCCAGCGACTAGCGCCTCCCTACCCGCCAGCCCAGCCTCCCATGGGGCCCTGGGAACCTGCGCTTCTTAGTGAGGAATGAAATTCACTTGCCTTCACTTCCGTAAGTGGGTTTCCCAGGAGCCCGTCGGTGTGCTAGGGGCACTCCATTTCGTCGGTGAGGTAGACAGCCTGTGATAAGTGCCAAATTAGAACCTCTTCCGAAAGCAGAGGGGGGAGAGTGGGTGGGGCCAACCCCTAGGGAGGGCGTGGGAAGGGACCGTCACCCCAGCCGCCGGCGACTTCGGGCCTAGATTGGGAGCGCGCCACGAGTAGAGGGGCGGGGCTAGAGTTCCCAGACGGGATGGGCGGGTGGGAGCTCTAGGCCTGCTACAGGTAATTTCGAGCTGCCTAGGAAGTGCGGCGGCAGGACTACGTGGGTCCTGTAAGCCTAGGGACGGACTTGGAGTTTTAGACTAAGGAAACCCAACTTTGCTAGGATGTACAGGAATTAACGGCATGCGTTTGGGATGCTAGTGCTTCTAGTTTTCATTTTTTATTTTCCCCATTTATAAACAAAAACCTCGTGCTGAGGGCGTATGTTAGTGGTAGAGCACTTTCCTAGCACTTTCCTGATTCCATTCCCAGCACCGCCAGAGCAAAAACTAGAAAACCTCTGTATATCTTTGCATTCACCTCAAGCATTTTGTTTTTGTTTTTATTTTTTTATTCTAATTAGTTATACATGACAGTAGAATGCATTTTGACAGCCCATACATAAATGGAATGTAACTTCTCATTCGTTTGGTTGTACATGAACCTCAAGCATTTTTGCGCCAATGAATTAAGGCAAGAGTTTTTAGTCTTGGGTCCAGAAGAGTACATTTATACAGTTCAGAGTCCTTGAATTTGGATGGAGAAAAATACACCATATTTTCGCCAAACTGACTGATTTCAACACTTTGTTTAAGAATGTAGCAAGAGACCACAGTGGTGTTGCATATTACCTGTGACTTGGTCACCTATAGAACCACAAATGGTATCACAGTACATTACAGTTAATGTAGATATTTACACACTCACTTTTTTTTTTGAGAGAGAGAGAGAATGAATCTTTTTTGTAGATGGAGACAACACAATGCCTTTTATTTTTATGTGGTGCTGAGACTCGAACCCGGGCCCCTCCGGTACTAGGCAAGTGCTCTACCACTGAGCCACAATCCCAGCCCAACACACTCACTTTTTAAAATACATAGCTGTTAGATCCACAAATAGAACTGTTTAAAAGCTCATGTGTTATTGTAGCACCTTTTTATTTTAAAAATATTCTGATAACTATATTGCAATGTAACTGGTTTTCATTGTAATCTTATATACTTTGTTTTATACATTTAAAAAAATTCTGAAATGGAGCATGCATGTAATCCTAGCTGTTAGAGGCTGAGGCAAGAGGATTGCAAGTTGGAGGCCAGCCTGGGCAATTTAGCAAGATAGTGTCTCAAAAAATTTTTTTGAGGGGGAGTACCAGGGATTGAACTCAGGAGCACTTGATCACCGAGCCACATCCCCAGTCCTATTTTACTTAGAGACAGGGTCTCACTGAGTTCTTAACATCTCATTTTTGCTGAAGCTGGCTTTGAATTTGCGATCATCCTGTCTCAGCCTTTGGAGCCGCTGGGATTACAGGTTTACAGGCGTGCCAGACCGCCATTTTCTTTTTGCTGACTCTAAAAAGAGATAAGCCTTCCCTTGGATATCATTGTCTTCATCATAGCTACCACTTATTGAGAGTTTAGGGTGTGAATGATTCTGTGCTAAGTGCTTATATAAATCATCCTTTTAAATAACCCCCTCCTGCCCCAGGTCAGGGTATTGAACCCCGGGGCACTCAACCACTGTGCCCAGCAAATACTTTTAATTCTTATACAGGTGCTTCTTCCTGGTTTACTCATATTTTGCATGCCACCCCTTCTCAGTCTCCTTTGCTGATTTTTCCTGATCTTACTAATCTTTTAACATTGGATCCCTGAGGTTTAGTTTTGGATCTCTCCGCTTTTCTGTATATATTCAGTCTTTCAATGATCTCATCTAACGTACCTTTAAATATTCTCTTGGTTGATGACACCCAAATGTATTACCTCTAAGGGCTGGGGATGTGGTTCAGGGGTAGAGTGCTTGCTTAACATGTCACAGGAGAGTGGGGAGCTGAAGCTCCAAACCTGAGTTCTTGTGCTCCAACAAAAGAAAATTTAGCCATGCACTGTGGTGCACACCTGTTATTCCAGCAGCTTGGGAGGCTGAGGCAGGAGGATTGCGGGTTCAAAGCCAGCCTGAACAATTTAACAAGACCCTAAGCAACTCAGCAAGACTGGCTCTAAATAAAATATTTAAAAGAGCTGGGGATGTGGCTCAGTGGTTATGTGCCCCTGGGTTCAATCCCAGGTACCAAAAAAAAAAGAAAGAAAAGAAAATTTAAAGTCAGATGTGAAAAGCCAGGCAAGAAAACTTTATTATAAGTGAAAGTTCAGTAAGGCCAAAGCAAAAAACACTCTCAAGAGGGAGAGTGTGGGCTGGGGATGTGGCTCAAGCGGTAGTGCGCTCGCCTGGCGTGCCTGCGGCCTGGGTTCGATCCTCAGCACCATGTACAAACAAAGATGTTGTGTCCGCCAATAAGTGAAAAATAAAATGTTAAAGTTCTCTCTCTCTCCCTCTCTCTCTGCCTCTCTCTCTCTTAAAAAAAAAAAAAAAAGAGGGAGAGTGTGTTGCCTCCTAGCAGAGAACAACAAAGGAAAAAATGCTGCTTCCAAATTTCTTATTGTTTGATATTTACCAGGAGAACTGGGGTCCACCTTCTGCAATTTTTACCAATCAGATGTTTATCTTCTACTTTGGGTAACTGGGAAGAGCTTTTTTTTTAAAGTTTTTAGTTTTTAGTTGTAGTTGGACACAATACCTTTATTTATTTATTTATTTTTATATGGTGCTGAGGATCGAACCCAGGGCCTCGCACATGCTAGGTGAGCGCTCTATCACTGAGCCCCAGCCCCAGCCCCTGCTCCTGGGTGGGGGGGAGAGTTTTTGACCCTTTTTGATCCTCTCTAGAACATCATGGTAACCATCCTATTCAGAGGATATTCATCTACAAGTCAGTCCTATGTTAGCCGGGTACCATAGTGTACGCCTGTAATCCCAGCAATTCTGGAGGCTTAAGCAGGAGGATTACAAGTTCAAAACCAGTCTCGGCAACTTATCAAGGCTCTAAGCAACTTACATGAGACCCTGTCCCCAAATAAAAAGTACTGGGTATATAGCTCAGTGGTAAAGTGCCTCTGGATTCAATCCCCAGTGCCAAAAAAAAACAAAACGAAAACCTCTGTTAATGTGGGTGTTGCGGTTAATTACTGAACAACCTTCATCCAGTTAGTGCACTTGTGCCATTTACGAAATTTCCCTTCTGAAATTCATTGAGAAACCTATGGTCATAAATCCTAACTTTATATCAGTAGACTCTGCCAGGAGTTAGCCCCAGTGATCTTTCTTTTTAAATTTTTTTGTACTTGGGATGTACTCCAGGGGCACTTTATCATGAGCTACATATCTAGCCCTTTTAACTTTTTATCTTGAGACAGCTCTCACACCCAGCTGATCTTTCTTTCTTGACATATTTCTTAATCGGTTCCCTTTGTTTCTACCCGTTTATTCTCTGGGTTAGTACACCTGTTGTTGTTCTACAGGTTACTTGATTATTCATTAAAGGCAATTTCAAAGAAGCCCTGTGACCCTACTGTTATTGGTTCGCATTTCACTGCTCATTACTAACTACTACCTAACAGCGCACTCGAGGCTCTGGGTTCAATCCCCAGTACCACCACCAAAAAAAAAAAAAAAAAAAAGCCAAATGTATTACCTTTAACTTGGATCTCTCTCCAAACTCTACAGTCTCACTTCTCCACTTGGATATCTAGTGCATGCTTTAAATATAGTATGTCTGTTTTATTCAGATTTTGCATTGCTGTGACAACAATGCAGAGGAGGAAAAGTTTATTTGGGATTCACAGTTTCAGAGGTCTCAGTACATAGAAGGCTGACTGCATTGTGCTGGGCCCAAGGTGAAGCAGACATTACATCATGGGGGAAGGGCCCAGCTAAGAAAAGCTGCTCAGCTCATGGTGGGGTTAGGAAGCAGAGAATGGGGAAAGGTCCACAGGGAAGATGTACCCTTCCAGGGCATGTCCCCAGTGACCTCCTCCAGCCATGCCCCACCTTCCTACAGTTACCACCAGTCCATTCAAACTAGAATGGACTAATTAGGTCATAACTGTCACAATCCAAACATTTTACCTCTGAACATTCCTGCATTAATACAGGAGCTTTTGGGGGGCACTTCATATCCAAACAATAACAATGTGCTAAAGAGAACTCCTGATCTTTGGGGGTTCAAACCAAGGGCCTTGTGTATGCTAGGCAAGCACCGTACCACGGAGCTCCACCTCCAGCCCTAGAATTCCAGATCTCTTCACCAACTGGGTCATTCAGAGTCCTTCCAATCTCAGCATGTGGCCACTCCATTTTTCCTATTGCTTAAACCAAAACTACCTTTCTCGTTCTCTGACACACTGCATTCATTCTGTTAGCAAAACTGATAAGCTTGTGGAATTTATCTGGAATCTAGCAACTTGTCACCTCTACCCTGATCCAAGTGACCTTCTCTCACTTAGGTTATTTTGTAGCCTTTCACTGGTCTCTGTGCTTCTGCCCTTACCTCCTACAGTGGCCAGTGATCCCTTCAAAACCCAAGTGTGATCATGTCATTCCTCTGCTCAACAACCTCAATGGCTCCTCATTGCTCTCCCAATAAAAAGTATTTACAGTCACTAAAAAGGTCCTACCAGGCTGGACCCCATTATTTCTCTGACCCAACCTCCTCCTCCTCCTCTCCCTCTTTGTGTGTGTGTGTGTATGTGTTTGTTTATTTTAATTGTCGGTGGAACTTTATTTTATTTCATTTATCTATCTATCTATTTATTTATTTACATGTGGTGCTTGCTGAGAATCAAACCCAGTGCTTCACACATGCCAGGTAAGTGCTCTACCAAGTGCTCAATAGCCACAACCCCAGCCCTCTCCCTCTTATTTTGCTGAAGCCACACTGACCCAATTTTTCCTTCAGAGACACAACAGTCCTCTATGAAGCCTTACTGTTAGGTACCTTCTCTGCTCAGGAATCCATGACTTGTCGCCTCACCTCCTTCAAGTCAGGGCTCAGATGTCACCACTTAAGTGAGACTGAGAACTCTGTATCCCCCTTCCTTTCATGCTTTTTCTTTTTTCTTCAACATGTACTTAATTTTTAAAATTTTTTAAATTTGTGGGCTGGGGTTGTGGCTCAGTGGTAGAGCGCTTGCCTAACATGTGCAAGGCCCTGGGTTCAATCCTCAGCACCACATAAAAATAAATAAATAGGGGCTGGGGATGTGGCTCAAGTGGTAGCGCGCTCGCCTGGCATGCGTGCGGCGTGGTTCGATCCTCAGCACCACATAGAAACAAAGAAGTTGTGTCCGCCGAGAACTAAAAAATAAATATTAAAATTCTCTCTTTCTCAAAAAAATAAATAAAATAAAGGTATTGGGTCCAACTACAACTAAAAAATAAATATTAAAAAAAATTTTAAACTTGTTCTAATTAGTTAGATCTGACAGTAGAATGCATTTTGAAACATCATACATAAATGGAGTATAACTTCTCATTCTTCTGGTTGTTCTGATGTAGAGACAGGTTGTGTAATCATATATTCACATAGGGTAATAATGTCCGATTTATTCTGTGCCTTGTTTTTCTTGATGTCTCTTATCACCTTTTAGCATGCCATGTAATTAATTTATTGTCTAACTTCTGAGTCATTATAATCAAGGAGGAAAGAGTTTTTTTTTTTTGAACCAAGGATTGAACCCAGGGCTATTTAACCACTGAGCCACATCTCCAACCCTTTTTTAATTCAGAGACAGGGTCTCACTGAGTTGCTCAGGGCCTTGCTAACGCTGGCTTTGAGCTCATGATATTCCTGCTCCAGCCTCCTGAGCCACTGGGATTACAGTTGTGTGCCAATGTGCCTAGCAGGGCAGATTTTTAAAAAATGTTTTACTCTGGAACTGAGTATGTAACTTAGTGGTAGAGTGCTTGCCTAGTGAGCATAAGGCCCTGCCTTCTGTCTCCAGCACTGGAGGGGGGAAAAAGTGAGCTGAATTGTATTCCCCCAAACTCATATATTGAAGGCCTAACCCCTAGTACCTACTTGAATATGACAGTATTTGGTGAGAGAGCCTCTAATGCTTTAAATAAGTGATAACTTTAAAATGAGAATTTTTAGGTTGGTGTCCTTATAAAAAGAGTTGATTAGCTAGGTGTATGGTGTATGCTTATAATTTTACTCAGCAACTTGGGAGGCTGAGGCAGGAGGATCACAAGTTTGAGGCCAGCCTGGGCAACTCAGTGAGACTTTGTCTCAAAATAAAAAATAAAAAGGGATAGGGATGAAGCTCATTTGTAGAGTGACCCTGAGCTCAGTCTCATAACCACACACACACATGTACACACAAAGAAGAAAAAAAAGAAAGATTATATGATGACACAGAAATTGGCTTTCAGCAAGTCAAGGATATGGGGTCTTTTTTTTCACTTCATAATTATTTTATTTAAAAAAAATTTTTAATTGATTTTTTAAAAATAAATTACAGTGGAATGCATTACAATTCCTATTACAGGGCTGGGGTTGTGGCTTGGTGGTAGAGTGTTCGCCTACCACATGCGAGGCCCTGGGTTCGATCCTCAGCACCACATATAAATAAATAAATAAATAAATAAAGGTATTGTGTCCAACTACAACTAAAAATAAATATTAAAAAAAAACAATTCTTATTACACATACAGAGCACAATTTTTCATATCTCTGGTTGTATACAAAGTATGTTCATACCAATTTGTGTCTTCATACATGTACTTTGGATAATGATGTTCATCACATTCCACCGTCCTTGCTAACCCCCTGCCTCCTCCCTTCCCCTCCCACCCTTTTGCCCTATCTAGAGTTCATCTATTCCTCCCATACTCCCCCTCCCTACTCCACTATGAATGGATTAAAAATGTGGCATATATATACAATGGAATATATTACTCAGCAATAAAAGAGAATAAAATCATGGCATTTGTAGGTAAATGGATGGCGTTGAGAAGATAATGCTAAGTGAAGTTCCAATCCCCCCCCCCAAAAAAAAACAAATGCCGAATATTTTCTCTGATATAAGGAGAGTGATTCTAAAGGATAGGGGTCTTAAGAGAAACCAAACCTCCCAAACCTCTTGATCTTGGACTTCTAATCTGTAGATGTGTGAGAAAATAAGTTTCTATTATTTAATCTGCTCAATCTGTGCTATAGAAATCCCCCCTTATCTGTGGGAGATACATTCTGAGATCCCCAGGGAGACCTAAAATTGCAGGTAGTACCAAACCCTACGTATACTAATTTTTTTCTCTAAATATATACATATTACATATACATACCACAGCAGTATTTTGCAGTTTTAGGTGTGATAGAAAAATTAGTATGAATTGCTTTTTCCTTCACAGTTTCATGGATAGAAGATTCCTTCTTATTATAGCTCTTACTAACCTCAGGATACAAAGCTATAAAAGTTTCCTAAGTAAGAATCTTCCATTTTTTCACTTAAAAGAAGCAGTTTACAGATTTTCTTTGGTATATCTGAATTGTCAACATCACTGCTCTTGTGGTGTAAGTAAAATAAGGGTTACTCAAAAATAGGTACTATAATATTGCAAGAGTTGATCTATTAACCCAGAAGGCTACTGATTACTGGGCAGGTAGAATATATAGTGTGGATGTGTTAGACAATGGGATAATGCCCATCTTCCATTATGAATAATACACAATTTAAAACTTATGAATTGTTTACTTCTGGTATTTTTCTCTTAATATTTTCTAGGCAAACTTGCTTTATTGTTTTTGGAATTCTGGGGATGGAACCTAAGGCCTTGTACATGCTAGGCAAGTATTCTGCTGCTGAGCTACATCCTCACTCTACCAACTAAGCCACATCCCCAGCCCATGATTACTGCTTTCTGTCCTTCCCTTTAAAACAGAACTCTGGGAAAGATTTGTCTGTACTCATTGTTTCCAATTCCTCACCTCCTGTTCTTTTTTTTTTTTTTTTTAAGAGATAAGCTCTGATAAGCTCTTGCTGTGTTGCCCTGAATGGCCTGGAACTTCTGATTCTCTTGCCCCAGCCTCCCAAAGAGCTGGGACTATAGGTATGTGCCAATATATCTGCCTTATTACTCTTTTTTATTATAGCATTATAATTATACATAGTAGTTGGGTTCATTTTGACAAAAATCATACATGCTGGCTTCCTATTCTATTTTAAAATTGAGGTATAGTTCACATACCATCAAATCACCATTCCCAAACATACCCATTAGTGGATTTTAGTATATTCCAGACATCACCAATTCCAGAACATTTTGCCGGGTTGGGGGGGGGGGTGTGATATAATGGGGATTAACCCAGGGCTGCTCTACCACCTAGTTACATCCCAGCCCTTTTTACTTTTTTTGAGAGAGGGTCTCATTAAATTGCTGAGGTTGGCCTCCAACTTGTGATCCTCCTGCCTCAGTCTGAGTCCCTGGGATTACTGTCATGTCACTGTAGCCAGCTACTTCCAGAACATTTTTGTCATCCAAAAAGATATTCATACCCATTAGCAACTATTCTCCATTCTCCCCCTCCTCCAGCACTAGGTAAGCACTAATCTTTCTATCTGTATGGGTTTTTCTATTTTGAACATTTCATATAAAGGGAATCATATAATGGGTGACCTTTCTGAGCTGATCTTATCCAACATGTCAATATTTGTCTTCGTTGACTCCTGCCTGTAGTATTTTCTTCATTTTGTTTCCAGAACACCATAGTTGCTTGTGTTTTTTTTTTTCCCCTTTCAGACTAATGCTTCGGAATTTCTTTTCTTTTTCTATTTTTGGTACTGGGGATTGAACCCAGGGGTGCTTAACCACTGAATCACATCCACAGCCCTTTTTATATTTAGACTTTATTTAGAGACAGAGTCTCACTAAGTTGCTTAGGGCCTTGCTAAGTTGCCAAGGCTGGCTTTGAACTTACTTTCCTCCTGCCTCGGCCTCCCTAGCCACTGAGATTACAGGTGTGCACCACCACACCCAGCTCTGCTTCAGAATCTTACTAGTTGATTCTTCCCTGTCTCACTTCTAAATGCTTGAGTACCCCAGAGTTCAATCATTGTGGGTCTTCTCTTCAATCTGTACTCATTCTCATGGCGATCTCATTCAGTCTTATGTCTTTACATGTCCAACACTGAACTCCTTATAGCCTCCTCTGCTGATGCATGCTCATACACTTGTGCACACACACATTTTTCTTGCAGATTTCCCTATCTCAGTGACAGCCCCATCCTTCCAGTTGCTTAAGGAACCTTTGACTCTTCTGCCAAACCCCACATCTGGTCAGTCAGCAAATTTTTGGCTCTACCTACAAAATATGTCCAGAATTCAATCACTTCTAGCAGCCTGCACTGCTACCACTTTGTTCCACGCTGCTATCAGCTCTATACTAGATTATCACAATAGCCTGATTTCCCTCCTTTCTTCTCCCCCTTCCCTGCTTTGGGTTCTTCTCAACTGAGTAGCAGAGCAGTCCTATTATTTTGTTGTCAAACCTCTTCTCAAAAACTTTGCAAAGGCTCCTATATCATTTGGAATAAAAGTTCCATGTCCCCCCGCACCAAAGAAGTCTCAATTGCTAACTGTACCACATGGAATCTTGACCTTGTTAGTTCTCTAATTACAGGCTTGCCTAGCTTGCCTATCATACTTCTATGCCAGAACTTTTCCATGTGCTTTGTTCTCTGGAATGCTCTTCCCCTAGAAAGGCACAGGGGTAGCTCCATCATTTTTTTCTCAAAGACTTACATGTGCTTTCCATGTGCATCCCCCCTCCTTTTTTGGGTACTAGGGAATTAACGCAGGGGTGCTTTACCACTGAGCTACATTCCCATTTCTTATTATTATCATTTTGAGACAGGGTCTCACTAAGTTGTTAAGGCTGGGCTTGAACTTGCGATCTTCCTGCCTCAGCCTCTTGGGTGCTAGGTTTACAGGTATGTGCTACTGCACTGTTATTCCATCCCCTTCTACTCTTCCCTGGCTTGCTCTGCAGCCACACAGGTCTCTTTGCCAAGCTGTAACAAGACAGGCATACTACTTTTTTTTTGTTGTTGTTACTGGGGATTAGACCCAGGGGCACTTAACCACTGAGCCACATCCCCAGTCGTTTTTGTATTTGATTTAGAGACAGGGTCTCACTGAGTTGCTTAGAGCCTTACTAAGTTGCTGAACCTGGTTTTGAACTCACTATTCTTCTGTCTCATCCTCTGGAGCTGCTGGAATTACAGGCTTGCACTACTGTGCCTGGCTTGCCTATCATACTTCTATGCCAGGACTTTTCCATGTGCTTTGTTCTCTGGAATGCTCTTCCCCTAGAAAGGCACAGAAGTAGCTCCATCATTTTTTCTCAACGACTTACTCAAAAGTCACCTTCTCATGGAAGTCTTTCAGCCACCACCTGTGAACATCATATTTCCCTGCATGACTTATTTATTTCTCCTATGCACCTGTCACTCTAACAATATGCATTTTGCTTATTTTATTTTCTCTCTCCACTTCAATGAAAGTTCCATGCAAATAGGAATTTTGTTTGTTCACTGATATAATTCCAAAGCCTAAAAGATGAATGGTACATGGTATGTGTTTAAAAAATAGTGAGTAAGGGCTGGGGATGTGGCTCAAGTGGTAGCGCGCTCGCCTGGCATGCGCGGGGCGCTGGGTTCGATCCTCAGCACCACATAAAATAAAGATGTTGTGTCCACCGAAAACTAAAAAAATAAATATTGAAAACAATTCTCTCTCAAAAAAAAAATAGTGAGTGAACAAATGAAAGATGGCAGCCTGAACTAGGTTAGTGAGAGGATGAAGATGAGGGGGCTAGATTTTGCAAACAGAATATAATGATTTATTGACTGTGGGGATTGAAGATGGAATCCAATATGACTATTGGTGCTGAATAGATAGGTGGTTAACATCCTCTGAGAGTCAGGTGCAGTGATGCACACCTGTAGTCCCAGCAACTTTGGAGGCTGAGGCAGAAGGACCTCAAGTTTGAGGCCAGCCTCAGCAACTTAGACCCTGACTCAAAATAAAAAGGGATGAGGATCCAACTTAGTAGACAGCACACCTGGGTTCAGATTCTGTTTCTCTGAGTAATGGGAGTGAGGTTCAGAAGGAACTTGAGTTCAGTTTGCAACCCAAATACCTATGGATCATTTGGGTGTAGATGTACCAAAGAAAGCTAGATCTGAGACCATAGTGGTGGTCAGGGCTGGAAATCCAGAAGGTGACCTTAAGGTCTGGAAATACATGTTATATCATATATTAAAGTTGCAATGAACCAGTTATGTATTTACCAATATTTCCATAGTAGGAGCTTAGGGCAGGAGATATAGCTCAGTTGGTATATGCACAAGGCCCTAGGTTCAATCCCCAACACCACACATACACACACACACACACACACAAAATCCATAGTAGGAGCTTAATAAATATTTGGTGAGTCAATGAGTTCTGCGAGATTTCTAAGGATGGTTAATCCTGTGTTTGTACCTGTCAACATATACTTTCTAAGAATTCACCAAGTATAGGCCTATCTTTGTTAACTTTGCCTTCTCTAATAATGATATGAAGTATAATATACTTCTGTGGTGCAAAGAACAGCCCAGAGGCAGTAAAGAAAATTCTAGGGCCAGGTGCAGGGGACCATGCCTGTAACCTCTGCAGCTTGGCGGGGCGAGGGTCAGAGGCATGAAGATTTCAAGTTCCAGGCCAGCCTGTATAATCTAGTGAGACCCTGTCTCAAAATTTAAAAAGGGCTGGGGGTGTAGCTCAATAGTAGAGTGCCCCTGGGCTCTATCCCTAGTACTTAGGAAGAAAGAAATGGGGTCGGGGGAGAAGAAAGGAAGAAAAACAGACAGACTTGGCATGGTGGTGCAAACCTTTAATCCCAGCAGTTCAGGCAGCTGAAGCCAGCCTCAGCAATTTAGTGAAACTCTAAGCAACTTAGATCCTGTCTTAAAATTTTAAAAAGGGAGGAGGGGGCTGAGGATAGCTCAGTGGTAAAGCACCTCTGGGTTCAATCCCCAGAATGCCACCTCCCCCCTAAAAAAGAGAGAGAAAAAAAAAAAAACTGAAGGCAACCACCATAAAATAGTTCTGCCGGATATGATATTGGCACATGCCTGTAATCCCAGTGGCTTGGGAGGCTGACACAGGAGGATCAAGAGTTCAAAGCCAGCCTCAGCAATGGGGAGGTGCTAAGCAACTCAGTGAAACCCTGTCTCTAAATAAAATTCAAAATAGGGTTGGGATGTGGCTCAATGGTTGAGTGCCCCCGAGTTCAATCCCTGGTACCCACCCACCCCGCCAAAAAAATAAAAAGAAATTTATATTTATACACACACACACACACACACACACACACAGAATATATATATACAGAGTTCTATATACCAACAGAAAGCTGCAGTAGTTTAAAGATAATATCTGTGGATACCATAGAATGTTAGAGCTTAATTTTATCATCAGAGCTAAATTATGATCTTAGGACCACTTTGTATATGCTTTCTGGGGAAGGGGGTAAGTTCCTGATCTGGAAGGGGAGCCTCAGAAATGCCCAAGCCATCCTTTTTCACTGCCACGGAGGTCCCTGCCCTCCATGTCCTCAGTCCTAGAATTTTTCCTGCCTTCCCTCAGAATCATTCCTCTATCACAGCGAGGAACACAACAGTTGGAGGGACTCAATAAAGGCTGATATCCAGTTTCTGAGTTATCTGCATCCCTTTTTTTTTAGGCTGTGGAGGAGACATTACTAGAGGTTGAACCCAGGGCGCTCTACCACGGAGCTGCATCCCAAGCCCTTTTTATTTTGAGACAGGGTCTTGCTATGTTGCTAAGGTTGGCCTTGATCACTTCTGCCTTAGCCTACCAAGTCACTATTGCTAGGTATATAGACATGTGCCACCATGCCCCGCTTCATACTGTCTTTATTTCCAAAGAAATCAGGGGTCAATGATGTAACCTAGTGGTAAAGCACTTGCCTATATATGCAAAGGGCCCTGGGTTCTATCTCCAGCATGGCAAAAACAAACAAACAAAAAAACAAAGAAATC